TTCACACAGTCCATAAGGCACTTCGTATTATGGTTTGCATTTGAGGTATTGTTAATTTAAGCATCTCTGACCCTTTCAACTAGGGGGTGATACAAAATACTTTCAATGAAGGGAAGGAAAAATCAGATGTTTGTTTGCCAGTCTTCATTTGTTTTGGGAGACATACCTTTGTAACAGCGAGACTGACTGTTCCTCCCATCCCCAAAGCTAATTTGGGGATGGCAGAATTTGAGTTTTGATTTTCCTTGAACGCACACGTGGGCTGCGATATCTCAGATTCGGAAAACTGCTTAGGTTTAATGATAGATGCATGTTTCATTTTAGCTACTGGATTTCCATCGTGGCTACTCAGTAGCAGCACATAAGCAGGTGAGAGGAAAACCAAACACCAGAAAATGTGTACTGAAGTTACTGGTGACACAGAATTTTCTCGAGACAGGGATCGCCAAAAAAAGGAACATGAAAAACTTAATTGTGTAAAACTTCTGCAGATTTCCTCGTGTAACAACTCAAAAGAAAATGAATTTGCCTGTCTCAGTCTCAATCGATGCCCAAATATTTCATTATTAGTAAAAATTAATAGTTAAGGATAGGGCCAGGGAAAGCCAAAAGCCAAAATGTGCGTGACCTGAGCAATCAGTTTGATGGTAAAACAACATATATTTTTAGAAGTGTTTCTATTTATTAAGGTAACACTTCCCACAAGCACTCATGGTTTGCAATCTTGAGATCGTTTCACAGACAAGAAAAAACACAGACACAACGCAAAAAACCAAACACAGCTCACAGGGGAAAAAAAAAAATACACAACTAACCACAAAAAGCTTAAAAGAAAAATGCCACGCACGTTACACGGGTACACAAACATACATACACGCACACGCACCCCAAAGAAAACCAAAAAAAAAAACCCAAAAAGTTTAATTCATGACATGCGGCGCACAGGGAAGCCCAGTCGTTGGCAAATACCTTCAGCATGGTCATGGACATTTTCGTCAGGGATACGTTCAATCTGAGTCTCTACTGACTCATCCCAAATGGGTCTGGTGTCAAAGATGTCTTCAGGAACTGACTGCTGAGTCTCACTGGATGGCACATTTTCAATAACTGAAACTTCTAGGGCGCTACTGCTTTCATCATCTGAAACTAATTCTTGTTCTCTCTCTGACTGCGTGAGTCTTTCCACTAATTTGGAAGCTTCATCGCTAATTTCTTCAAAGAATTCTATGGAGTTTTTGTAAAGGTCAAAAAGATGTTCCTTACTTTCTTTTGTGGGACTAAAAGCACCGCGGGAGGCGGTAGCGCTCCTGCTTTTAACTGGCAATCGTGATGAAAATACCTTGGGTCTTGCTGGTGGTGCCTCATCTGAGTCTAGCTCGAGCTTCATCTCTCTCTCCCTCTCCCTGGTCTCTGCTTCTGCCTCAGCATAACTCCTAGCTTTTATTGAACGTTTAGCCTTTGGGTCCATGGGGACGCTTGCGTCAGATTCCGATTTACTTCGGTTATCCTGCTTCGCAGGGAGTTTGCTTGTCATGTCAAGAGCTTTGGGCGACTCTAGCTTGTGAACGGATGTGTCCGCGCATGTAGATTGTTGGTCAGCTTTTTGGAAAGCTGCTTTGACAGGAATTTTAGACTTTGGTTTCGCTTGGTCATCTTTTCCTTCGCACAGCAAGCCGTCTAGGAAGCCGTCTGTGGGAAGGCTCTCACCTTCCGATGGTTGCAAGGACTGCGATGCAGCAGCAGCTGTTCTGACAGGGATTTTGGATTTGCTGTCGCAGGAAGGCACTGTCTCCATTAGAGCAGTAGGGATTTCAATCACGGATCTCTGTTCCTCTGGTGAAGAGTCAGGGGACTCATCACCCTGTTCGGAACAAACTAATCTAGTGACTTTGGAAAAATCTAACTCGTCTTCTACTATGGACTGCTCAGGAGAGATAGGGCAAGGCACCTGACTGCTATCAACCATGTCAGTCTCCGTTCCGGAGAGGGCCTCAGCTTCAGAGGCAGCAGTTTCTTTCTTTGGTGATTTTGAAGAAGCTGAAATACCCATTTTAATTGGAATTCTGGATTTAAGATCTGCTTTTGCGGTGCCTATGCTGACACCTTCACCCGTCATTTCTTCTGATTTATCACTAGACTCAGATGCTGGGGGTGAAAATTTCAACGTATCTTTTTCTTGAGTATCTGAGTCCTCTGACTCTAAAGGTGAAAACGGATCTGGTGAGCTCTTCAGCTTAGAAGATTCTCCCTCTGCTGCTTCTTTCACTTCTTCAGATAAAGAAACTTCTTCCTGAGGCTGCTGCCCCATTTGGAAGAAGTGAAAGCTTTCGTCTGGATAGTTCCTTTTGGTCATGTCGATGGCTCCACTCCTAGTCATTTCAAACAACTTTCCTTCCTGAAAAAGAAAAGGATTTTGTTCACTAAGTGGCGTCCCTTCCTCGGTGGGTGTTCTGGCCGGTGTTGTATCAGGTGTTGTGCCTTGTGACCGCCTGTCTACCATCAACCCAAATATCTTTTGTTCCTCTTCTTTCACCCGAGCTTCAAAAGCTTCATCATCTTCACGTATTTCACTCCACATGTCAGAGTCCACATCAGTTTTGGTGATGACAACTTGACTGATCAATTTCTCTGTTTCATCTTGCATATCCTCAAGGGCAGATTCAGCTAATTGTGTGGAATCTGACGCTGAAGACCCTTGGGACATTTCCTGAAATGCGTCCTCTGGTTTTGGCTCTATCTCCATATATACTTCCTCTGAAGAGTGACATTCACTACCTGCGTCTCTGCTAAGCAAAGCTTCACCAGTCTGATCTTTTCCTCTTTCACTTGAATAGTCTTCCCTAGATAGCACGCTTCTACCAGATCCTACCTTACTTTCAGAGTCAGTAAAGAAATGTTCAGAAGACACATTTTCATAAGGGCTTACTATATAAGGAGCACTACTTTCAGCAGCATCTGCTACACAACTTTCAAGTTCCACCGTTTCAGTGGTAAGAGATGAATACTCTGGTAACGGTTCCTCAGCATAAACATCTCTTTGACGCGTTTCAAAATCTGTATCTGTTTTTCCCAAATCACTTCCCAATGCAGAACGGTCAGTGGTGTCCTCTTCAGCCAGTTTGCCATCTTGTGGTGCAGAGCACTCAGCGGTACTGTGTCCACAAGAACCATCATCTACGTTCTGAGACACAGCTCCTGTAGAAATGAGATCTGTGTGTGTTAACAACGCAGTGGTCTGGACATCTTTTTCAGTAGTATCATATTGCTGTAGTGCTAGTGAAGACTCAACAGGATCTTCTTGTCGAGAACCGTCACCAATGGAATGACACAGAGTACCCCCAGGTTGTGTGACTGAGGCATTGGGACTAACTGTCTCACTGTCATCTGTACTGTCACACATGGACTCATCAGCTTCTGCTGACGCGCAACCATCAGAATGACAGGTGCCCGATTTTCTTGCGGAAGCCTTACAGCTGCCCCCAAGGCTAAGTGGTTCATCTTTGTCATCTTCTGTTGGTTTATCCTGTTCTACTTTAACTGCACCTGTCCTGACAGAGCATTGTTTTGAGTCAATGGGTTGAAAACCCGCTTCATCGGGGCTAGAACTGGAGTCAATACCGGACGGTAACGGTGAGGGTGGCTGCACGCGGATCGTAGGCTCCATTAAGAGGCCTGAGTCAGCTTCTTTTTTTAGCTGAGTCAATTCCGGCTCACTTTCTGAAGAGGAAGAACTTTTTCTAGATTCAGGTGCAGACATCACCACTGTAGGTATGTCTTTTTCTTCTCCAGCTGTTGACTCTGGTTCTTCAGTTTCACAGGCGGCTTCTGAATCAGCGACTACAGAAGATTCATCTTGCTTACAATCCTTTTTGTAATCTCTCTTCTGTTTTGCTTCTTGTTCTAATTCATCAAATGTTTTGATTTTGGTCACCATTTTAAACATCTCCTCTTCAGGGGTGAACGTCTTCTTTGGTTCACTTTCTGAATCATCCTCTGGCTCTTCACTGACTTCAGGGATCACGGCTGACTTTGGTATGTTTGACAGAGCCTGTGAGTCTGCTGTTTTTGGTGTGATTTCATAGCTAATTTCTTCAGAACTAGGAGTTTCAGGTGAAAGAGGACTTTTCCCTGAACTCTCCATGAGGGACGTTTGCTCCAAACTGTCGTCATCAGCGCTTCCCTCAGGGTCACGGAGAATCCTGGAACGCAACGATGCCAGCTCTGGGCAGGTTTCTCCTTTGCTAAGAACAGGCTGAAGAGGACCCTGCCCCAAGACACCAGCCTTCACTGTTTGTTCTACAGGGCTACTTTCAAGGGAATCACGGCAGGGAGACTCTTTCATAGGACTGGGCTCCAAAGAATCAGGCGTTTTGTGTGATGAGTTATCTTCTAGCACTGGGCTTGCTTCCAGTGAGTCTTTATGACTTACAGCCAAAGAGTCATCTGCAACTGGGCTAAAGCTTTCACTATCATGGCTAGCAAGTGAAAGTTCCAATTTCTGGGGACTTCTAACCGCAACACGGCGTTCACAGGTTATATCTTTTTCTTTCTCTAAAGCAGTGTCATGTGTTTCAGAAGACTTAGTTAAATGTGCAGTGGTTCTGGATTCTTTATCCCTGCTAATATCTTCCATAATGGAAGCTGAGCTATTTTCTTTAAGCTTATCAGCCTCTTCTTCAGAGGCTGTAGGTACAAGCTCTTCTGATACATGGTCAGAATGAGACTTACTAGTCTCAGGAACAGCATCTAGCTGTCTTTCAGTAATACCTTTTTCATCTTCCTTTGGAGAGGGTTCCTTCAGAGAACGTGTTTCTGCTGTTGCGTGCGCTTTAGCTGCTTCTTTAGCTTCTTCCATTTGCCCATCGTTTTTCTTTGGTGAGAATGAAAGGCTTTCAGGGCTTGTTTCTGGAGTCTCTGCCAGACCCTCGTGCTTATAACTTTCCTCAGAGCTGATCTGAGGGGTTCCGTCAAGTAGGCTACCTGGAGAATCAGCCACACCTTCGTGTTTAAGGCTCTCCGAGCTCCCATCGAAAGCAGCACTCTGCAGCGAAAGAGCAGGAAGGAATCCATCTTTCACATACTCTGTGGGAAAAGCAACACTGAAAGGACTGGTCAGTACTTGCTCCAAGTTGAGCTCTCCCTCCTCCGTCACTGAAAGGTGTCGGAACTGTTGATATTTGTCATTATCCTCCAGTTCTTCTTTAATGACATCAGAAAAGTCTGTGGAGGTTTTTCTGTCAGGGCTGATCTGGAAGTCAGTATCTCCTTGGTCATCGGAAGCCCTGCCCTTCACAACCGCTGTATCTTTGGCACTTTCATCATCGAACACTGGAGGAGGAGGTTCGGTTGGTTTTTTGCTGCTCTGCTCCTTTACCTGGTCTTTCCCTGCAGCTTTCTTGGTAATTTCGACAGTAGGAATTTGCATTTTCCCTTTTTTTGATTGCGGCTCTTTCTCTGCTTTCAATATTGTGCTCTGTTTGTCCTTCTGTTTGTCTGTCTTGTGGCTTGATACTCGCCTCGTTTCACTTTGCGAAGAGACTGTTTTCCTCCGGGTTGTCTCCTTCTCAGGGAGCTGTTGCTTCTGTTTGACAGATTTGTGCTCAAACAGTCCAGATATGTTCTTGGATGGGTCTTGACCTGACTGGAAGGCTTTCATCAGTTCACGAACTGACATGGTCTCTTCAAGTCTTTCTGTCTTAGAAGAAGGTGAAACGGGCGGTTGTGCTTTGTGAGCTACTGGTTTTTTGGCTTGTACTGGTCTTTTAGAAGCCTTTTCAGCAGTGCCTTCTCTTGTTTGAATTCTGACAGGTAGTTTTGACCGTATTTTTTGTTCGTCTTCCACTCGTTTCTGAAGAGCTTTAACTTTATCTTTTATTGAGCCAATAGGAGTTTCCTCTATAACAGGGGACACAGCTTTAGCCTCGGGAGCAGCTGTCAGTGTTAAGCCACGTTCCTCACCTAGAGACTCATCTGAAGCGGGCTTCGTTAGTCCTGATTGCTCTTCACTGCTGCGCATCTTGCCTTCCTTTTGCTTTTGCTTGTCTCTTAATTTTGTCCTAGCTGGCTTTTTAATTTCTAAGGCTGGCTTGTGTTGCTCCTGAGGACTCAGCGTTGCAGGTGCTGGAGATTCTTGTCCTTCTTTTTCAGAATCCCTGCTTATTACTACAGCTTCAAATCTCTCTTCTACTAAGTCTTCTTGTAAGGCTTGTGGCTGTACCTCATGGAGAGAAACGTACGTTTTTAAATCCTCTGCAAGGTAATCTACCATTCCTGTTATGTCTGGCTTCTCCATTTTTGTTGTCCCTTTGTCTACCCTGACTTCTACACAGGCAGGTTCAGTGACTTCTAAAGGAGCATTTCTTCTGGCCTCTTCGATTTCTTCATCACTGACAATGACCCATTCTTCCTCTACAAGCTCTTGTTTGGAAAGGGACTTGTGCAAAACACGTTCCTCGCTGGTATAAGATCCACCTCTCAGAATTTCATTTACTTTTTCTAAGTCTTCTTTCACTCTTTCAACTATTTCAAAAGGCTCTCCTGGCTCTTCTTCAGTGGGTTTTCCAAGATCTTTCACTTTAATGGAGCCTGATTTATCAGAAGGGTCAGTTGTCAAGATGGCAGTCATTTTGATCAAATCTTGTTTCATCTCAGAAACTTCAGACAACAGGTCTGGACTGGCTAGCACAGGGACTTCATTAACCAGATGGCTTTTCAGGATAGATGTTTCTGTAGATTCTGTCTCATCATCTTTGATGCGAATGAAAAAACATTGAAAGTAAAACGGAAATCAAAAATAGAGATTGGAAAATGTAATCAGGACTGAAAATGACAGTCTTTGGTTGCAGTGGTAGGAAGGTCAACAAAATGGGCCGGGAATGGTGGATCCACAAGATCTGAGGGTACAAGAGCAAAGCAAAGCTAACAGAAGGGGGTGGGAAAAAAAAAAACCACAACTGAAAAGGAAAATGGCAGGAAATAACTTGCTTAACTTTATCGATATAGCACAACCACACATACATTATCAAAGCTGTAACAAACCAAATCAGGACACCACTAAAAAAAAAAAAAAAAAAATCAACCAAACAAAACAACGCAACAAAATTTAAAATCAAAAACAGAAGAAACACAGTGAAGTTACACAAAGATAGGCATCTCAAGATTGTTCAGATGTTACAGATCAATGTTCAAATAAAAATAAACAAGAAAAAAGGGGGAAAGCATTAGAACTGATTGAAAGTCGATTTCCTCTAAGAGAAAGCCAGTGTTAGCAAACTGTCAGAATAACATGGGGTTAACATTTTTTTTTTTTTCTTAATGACCAAAATAAAAAGTTAAAAGTAACTCTGCAGCAATCTAAAATATGATCGAATGTGTAGAGATCTGAATCAGCTGCAAACCGGCATTTCATCTAAGGGGATTTCACACCTAAACAATGAAACAAACATTCTTTTGGTTTAAGAGGCATGGTCCTTTCCTTGGAACATCCTCATTGACAACTAATGAATCGACCGAGGAAAGAGAAGACAGAGAAGAAAAGGAGAGATAAGAAGAAAAAACTGTGAATCAACTTAGAAGTGACTTCAAAGTTTTAAAAAATGTAATGTATGGCAACCAAAAATCAGAGACAGTCACACTAGACACATACATACAATTCATGTAAGGCAAGTTATTTCCATGCAAAGCAAAGGTGCTGCAAATGCTGCTGGGTATGTAGCTTCAGTTAAAAACAAGAGCTCTGAAAACAAATCATATAAATTAAAGGTACATGAAAACAGTGTAAAACGTACTGTGGTGAAATATTTGTCTGATCTGTGCAATCAATATACAGTAAGCTGGGTGTAGGTGATTCCCATCGTGCCAGAAACGCCTGCTGGGAATATTTAATTTCAGGAGGGACTACTAGAAAATGTAGAGTGAACAGAATGGAACACTGGAGGACTGAAGACCTGATTACAGCCTACAAATACTTAAGAAGGGATGGTGGGGAGGTAGGGGAAGGGCTCTTTACGTTAGTGATGGGTGATAGAACAAGAGGAAATGGGTATAAGCTTAGTCAGGGGAGATTCAGGTTGGATGTTAGAAAGTATTTCTTCTCTGAAAGGGTTGTCAGCCACTGGAATAGGCTGCCCAGGGAGGTGGTTGAGTCCCCATCCCTGGATGTGTTTAAGAATAGGGTGGATGATCTACTTGAGGATATGGTTTAATGGGGACTAGGGACGGTTGGACTCGATGATCTCTAAGGTCTTTTCCAACCTAGAAATCTATGAAATCTATGAAGCAACTTATGAATGCAATGCAATGTTCAGAAATGATAATTGTACATTTTTCTTTTAAAGGTAGTGTGTCACATAAAACGTGACACATCTCTGCACCCCAGTCGAAAAGTCAAAGGAGTCATGCAAATAAGGAGGATCTAAGCAACATCTAACTTGGTAAAAACCACCCATTTTGCTACGCTGTTCTCTTGTGGGCAATGAATGCCACTGAAACGCCAATGTTTGTTCCTGAGAATAATTCTTTAGATTAAGCAGAACAGCTGAAACGGAAGACGCCGATAGAATCTCCAGTTTATTACAGTGTTCAGGAGGTTTTGTTGTTTGATTTTATCACTTGTTTCTTTTCTCAGTGGGAAACTGGTTTGGAGTCAGGAGAGTGGGTCTTGAAACTTCAGTACCTCTAACTACTAAGCTCTCCTGGGCACATTCTTGGCTTGCTCTCATTCTTTTGGATTCTTCTCACGAGAGCTGCCTACTTGTGTTAACTCTTCAGCAGACCAGGAAGGAACTGACTCTACAGCCAAACAGCAAAGTCTCTAACACGCTTTTCAGAAACACCAGTTCCAGTCCTGGTTCTGGCTGAGACCTTTAAGGTCTACTCATGAAGGTGAACTTGGCAGTGTTTTGACACGGGTGAGATTTTCTGCGTTGTCTCAATGATCCATTTCTCTTTAGGTAAATAATTATTCCAAACCAAGGACATGCATATGTGAGTCCCAGTTCTTACTGAACAACTACTGGGCCAAAAAATCAGTCACTTGTGTATTGCCTCATTGCAATTAAAGTTTGTTTAAACTAAAGAAGACCACGAGCAGAACTATAAAGGAACTGGGCTAACTGCCTGAAAAGAAGTTGCTTGGTTGTTAAGTGTATTTTCCAGCAATTTGGATATCATGATGTCAACTATCTCAGTGGTCTTCAAGCAGGCACTTGTTGGTCTCTTTTGTGTTTGTTAATTACACTTATAATGATTTCTGGGAACAGTGTCTCTCTCAGTCTCCTGCTTGCAACTGTTCTACCCAATTTTCAAACTGATCCTCCATTAAGCCAAAGGAAGAAGGAGCAAAACTATCTGACTGGTATTTTCACTCATCCAGTTTAAGTATCAACCAAAAATTCTAGCTCTGTGCTATATCGAACTTTGATGAGTCTGTGACAGCCACAACGGAGCGACCTCACCAAACCTGCACCCCGCCACCTTCCCTAGGATGTGTGGACTTTATTAAGTAAATAATTAAGTGGCAAGGGGCACATTCAAGCCCCTTTTCATCTATATGTTTTACTGTTGGGTTGAATTCACCTCCCATTTCCCATGGCCAAGGTGAGTCATGGGGCAACCGCCATTCCACTCGGCTGGCTATACTATGGTGTGCCTTTTCCACTTGGATGAAATTGGTCACCCTGGTGTAAATAATAATGAATTAGAGAAAAAGTCTGATACTAATAACGTTGTTAATCATGTTGAAGGCTATTTCCCATCACGTCATCAGCTACTGTGTCACCCTGATGTCTTTTATTCTGTAGATGAAGCACTTCTGCTTTAGATAAAGGAGGTTTATAGAGGAATGATCATTCAATCAATCTTCAGGATCACGGTACTGTTGTCTTTCCAATTAAAACATGTACACAGCACATGAAGAATAAATAACCCTCAAAATGCAATGTAGCAAAAAAGGCAAGACATTGCACTTTAAACTGGAAACAAGACAGAAGTCGTTCTTTTCCTAAACAGATTTAAGAAATTGCTGTATTTGAAAACAGTTCTTATTAGAGATACTCTTCAGACTGAATATGTATTTGTTTGATTTGCACCTTCATTAAAGGAGATCTTTGGCACTGTGAACCACTCGCCCTCGGTTTCTCGTAATAATGGCCTGATTCTGTGTATACAAAGGGTGTGTATGCTGCATCAAGCTTAACAGTCCTATTTTCCAGGCATATTTCACCACAGTAAAGGGGGACGGGGGGGGAGGGAAAAGGGTTAAACAGCCTGATTACTTCAGACAGTATCACTTCTTGGCATGGTTGCGTTTCATGAGTTTGATGAAATATACTGGGAGTATTAATTACGTTTTCAATAAAAGTGATACTGTCATTTATCTCAAATATGAGGCAACGATGTGTGTCAACGAATGGACAAAAAAAACCAGAGGGATGAGCATTCATACAAGCAAAATAGCAATAGCGGGGTCTCTAGGGATGTCAAAGGAAAGTAAACACTTAGATGAACTGTTTTAAACTGTATTACTTGTTAACTTATGTATTAAAAGGTATTTAATTGGATGGCTGCTTTGGTATTAAATTGTTTTCTATTACATTTTTTAAGTATTGATGTTATTAGCAACAGCAGTTAAAGCTTAGCTCTCTTTCATGCTTATCTTTATTCTTAACCATCTCTCGTACAAACTGCATTATAATATTTTCAAAAACAAAAGAAAATCTTACTTTTCTCTGAAGTCATTTCAACCTGGAAGAGAAAGAAGTGGGAAATTTACAAATTCGAATAGAATTGATACAGATAAAGTCACTAGTGAAGTAGTACAGGTTGAGTCAAATCCACTAGATGTATGGAGACACACAAATTCATTGACTTAAACGGAACTAAGAATGTATTTCACGTAATGATAAAAGCATGGCTTAATTTATTTAGCATTTCTAATAACAGAAAAATGGTTACTTTGCTAGAGTTATGGCCAATAGTAGGTGCAAAATGTTGCAATGTATTCTCTTTAAATGCAACGAGCAGTAGGGAGGACCCAGACTTTTGTATTTTTGGGCATGGTGTTGCATTGTTCCTAATTTATTTCTTCCAGTCTAAAGCAAAACATTCCAATATGGTCATCCGAAGGCATATGTCCCATCTGGGAGGCAACTAGTATGGTTTATACATAGTTTCATTTTACATATTCATTCTGAAATCACGGTTTGCATTTTTGCCTCTGTACTTTGTGATCACGAAAAGCAGGTGCAGAAAGAACTGCAGACTTCCCACTGCCTAAGGCAAGAACTAGGACTTGATGCCAACTACTAGCTATTGATACCTCTAAATGGAAGCAGTGCTTTTTGATTTTTCAGAGCTTATTTGGGGACAGACTGAAAAAGCCACACAATTTTCATCTCAAAACGGAGCCCTTGCCAAAAAAAACAAATTAAAAAAAAATGCAAAGTCAGACCATGAAAATTCAAGAAGCAAATTACTGACGTTGCCTCGTAGTTTGACTTTTTTTTCCCAGTTCTCCTAGCGCAGTCATTTGTCCACACAAGCAAAAAAAGATTTTTGTTGTGTAAATTTGGATATGCAAAAGTATGCAAAGTTAGAAGTAGCACTGAACATTCGATTTCCTATACAAACTCGTGGTGGTAGGATGACTGTGAGGAGTGAAAGCTGATACAATACACTGTGTATGTAAAAGCCCCCAAGATGATTTTTTAGTGAGTGTCAAAAAGGTTTTATTTGTTTAAAAGTATTCTCTATAAAGACAAATGCAATATATCATCTAAGCTAAGATGTTACTAATTCTTGCTTTTCCATAAACTGAAAATGAATACAAGCAAATCACTGGCAACACTAATATCTGTAATAGTATGAATTCCTCTGATGCACAGATGGTCCAACGTGGTAACCTGGGATCCCTCCTAGGATACTTTAATTCCCCTTCCTTTCGGTTCCACCAAATCAGTTTGGAATTATGTCAGCATACTAATTAATATTATGAAGAGAAAAATGAAGCAAATAAACAAAAAAAAGTAAAATGGAAGGTGTTTTAGCCAATGAGTTTGTTTTTTTTAATGTGTTAGTTTCTTATTTAAAAATATAAGAAGTCATCAATGTTTGGAAAAATAATTTTCCAATATCCTTTACACCGCTTTTACAGAAAATAGGTTTGTTAAAAACAACTTTTGGGGACTGAGAGTGCATAAAAAGCATTACAGAGGCTAAAAGGATCAGCGTTGTTCTTTTGGTATGACACTGATGGTATGATACCTTTTGAATGAATATAGTAAGAAGTAGCTGAAAAACTTTGGCCGTGTTTTCACTCGACAGTGCCCATATTTCAGCGCCGAAACAGGAGCAGTAAATATTTCTGTAGTGAGAACAGGGAACTGCAATCCATGCTGCAGAACTCCCCAACTCTGTTTTGCAGTCAATGGAGAAGATGCCCGCTGCCTTTGGGGCTGGCACTCCTGTTTCCGACAGCGGAACATCATCGAAACGTGCAGATGCTTTTCTAAGGTTACTCATTCACGTAGGGGTCAGACCTCAAGAAACATCTAGAACTGCCAGAACAGAGCTGGGAATGTAGGGAGGAGTTGGCCACATTTCTCCATCAAGATGCAATTCAGTTGATGCGGAAGATGAAAACTCGACGCTTTTTATTTGGGATAAACTTCTAACTTCTGGGTTAACACTGATTCTCTACTGGGCTTCAGTAATCCAACTCGGAAATTGGTAAGATCCAGAATACTGGATGTTATAAATGGACAAGATTTGTGAGTTCCAGCCCTTCCAGGTATACAGGGAGTGCATTCAATAGCAACCTGGCTGCAGACTCCCCCCGACAGTGGGGAACTTGCCCACGGAGGTAACGGTTGTATTGAAATCTTTTCCCGTGCCTCTGTTCCCCACTACTCACCATCACTAACCAGAGGAAGCATTTTCAGACTGTGCTTAGGGGTAAAAAGTACACTATGCCAGTGATCCACTGGTTCTGAATACTTCAGCCAAGTCCAGTAGCAAGCCTATGTCATTTTTAGGATGTGGGATGGTTCTCAGAATCAGAAAAACCAATCCCATTTCCCCTTTTTTTTTGTGCTGCAGAGAATAAAGCTCGAAGAAATACACTTGTATGGCTTATTCTTGAGCAAAAGAATTTTTAAACTATTAAGGAACTGTTTTCAAAGCAAAAACTCTTCTACACCTCCAAAATCGGCGCATCTGTAAAACTTCAGGGAAAGTTAAACTCAGTACTCTCCAGAAGTGAGCCTGTGCAAGATCCTTTTAAGTGCACTCCTCTGCACTGTTTTTGTAGCTCTGAGCTGATGTTTCACTACAGATTTCATCTTCCAAGCTATATCTGTTAGTTGGATTTTAGTAGTATGCATAAGCAGTAACATGCTGTTATGGGAACATTACCTCTTCTTCTTGTTCTTGATCTGATTCTGATTCCTTTCAGTTCCAAAATGCCATGCAAAAAGACAAGGGGAAAACAGAGCAGGCAAAATGCACATTTTTTTCTTTTAGAAGAAGAGTAGGAAAAAATAACTTCTGACAACATTTAACAGAAAAGAAGAAAACGCAGAATGTTTCTGCAATTGATTTCTTACGTCAAACAGCTGCAAAACTAACCTGTCAGTTTAAAACACAAAAAGCTACAAAATCAAGCAAATTACAAACAGAAAAGTTGCTTCTAGGTGTTGGACTTCTAGTGATTCTTATTTATACCAACACTTGCAATATATACATGCTTTTGCACCTATGAATACTTAAAACAGTTAAGAAAGTTACCCATTTAAAGTTAAAATACGTTGAGATGTGTTATTTTTAAATTATACAAAAACGCTATAACAAAGATTATGTTACATGCTAAAAATGCGGAGAAAAAATGAACACCAACAGGCAAGATTTTGGGCAAACAGCCTAATACGTTCCTAAAAGGCATGCAGCTCCTAATCTGACAAGGAAGGACAGTAAAAAATCCGAATTATCACAGAATAGCAACAAACTGACTCTTTCTAAGGCAACAAGTGCTTCTTAATATCTGATCTCACTTAAGCAGACATCAAGGGCACTCCCATGATTTATGATAATTCAACTGGTCTCAAGCTTGTTATTTATGAAAACTAACTGGTACTAGAGTTTTTCTCTCCTTTTTCTGCCCTTGATACTGGACCATTTTCTTCCCCAGACACGTTAATAACTGTTCTAACAATATTTTGAAGAAAGACCATTTACACGATGCGATATACTCATAGATTCTTGAAAGAATCGACCAGATGTAGGAAGAAAAGTCAGTGTCCAAAGTCAACGTAATACTAAAATCTAATCTAAGAAAGTATTTTCGTCACTGCTATAAACTTCCCAAGTTGTAGAGCTCAAGTCTGCTACATTTTTATCACTATCACCACAGATAAACAAGGCAGATAGCTAAAAAGGTTTCTGCAAAACCCATTAACTTTCAAATTGGCTCATGAAAAAAAAAGAAAAATAATTTTCAGTCCTTCTGTGCTTCATATCTTAAGGACATCACGTGTTCTACAGACTTTATCGTTACACGTTGTGAAACAGGTATGAACGGTAATTTAACCTCCAGAGAGATGTCACAAGACATGGTTAGATAGCATGGGAAGTCTTTGATAGAACAAAAAACTCGCTGAGTCTCAGATCTGTCTCACTCCTGATTAGAATCTGGGTAAAATTTCTGTATAAACCAAGATGAGCCTAGGCTTTGTGCAACAGCAAACGAAGGCATCGGAGCTACGGAGTGCAAACTGGATTTTTGTCTCCCCTCTGTCACCTCTTCTGAGTCCTCAAAAAATATTCAATAACATCTTTCAACACTGGTATCAAGAGTACCAAACCCAAGAAATTAAAAGCCCTTGGGTGGTATTTCTTCTTCTTCTTTAGAACACCTGACTACAAAGCTTGAACGGTATTTTGCTCTCCTACTCATTTCTCCTTTATATTACAATGCTGACGACTACAGAGCAATATAATTTCCCAGTACCTTTGTGTAAATGGGTAAAGTGATGTTTAAATTACATATGGCTTGATGAACGAGGCCTCTTGTAGATTTTGGCTCCTTCATGAATGACAACCGTCCACAGGGCTCTTGAGTGGTATCTCGCACCTGGCAGAGCAAACATACAGATATTTAATGTTATTTTGCTATTGTGCTGCATCATCTACTTGTGCCACTCCAAACTATTCAGCAGAAAGAGGCTAGAGGTAGGAGAAAAAGTCCACGGAGGCAAAAAGAATGTTTTCTCTTTTTTTTTCCCAGTACATATGGATGTATTGGTGTGTCTAAGCAAGAGAAGACACAAGCATGTATGTGCTTACACATATGAAACTTATTTACAGAATATCTGTAAATGAAATAAATAAAATTTACAGATAAATCTGTTAGTAAGATTGCAAAATATCTGCCATCTTAACAACACTGTAATAGCAGCCTTAAAAAAAACAGACATCCCAGTATGACTGGGCTTCTGTGATAAACTTACAATACCTATTTTTAACTGGAATGGTCCCCAAACTTTATGGTCACAACAGAGACTTGTTTTGCACTAGGTGACAAAAAAAGAACTAAGTCATTTTCCCCAATGCTCCAAATTTTAGTCTTAAGTATTGTGTCCGTTCATTTGGCTGAGTAGCTGAAAACGGTGAAAGATGACACCTAAAATTTCTTCTCGTGCAAAACATTGTCTCAAAGGTGTTGATAAATTTGCTGGAACGTATTTATAGGTGTAACCATTATTATTGACAGAAGATACTACATCATGACCACTATTATTGACAGAAGATACTACATCATGGCACACTTGAGATTTTGCAGTGAATCTTAGAAAAATCTTTTCTTGTTGGTAGAAACAAGTTTAATCACTTAAAACACCGGTGATGTAGTTTGAGCTTTTCTACATAACGTCACAAAAGAAACACAACTAAGAGCAGTATCTCATTCTTAGTTTTCTGAACTGATAAAATGACACGACGAGATACGTGTGGATTAACTTTGACAGACTGAAAATATGTTTTTGAACATATTTTGGAAAATCCACCATGGAGAAAAATACCCAAAGACAAAGGTAGGTGGTGGCATAGATGAAGTTCTCAACTAAACCCAGCTTACAAAATATTGCTGGAAAAGAGGGAGAGAGTTTCTGCTGTCTAGCAGCATCCAGCAGATTTCATACAAGGAGGAAGCAGGTCGATTTTCTCCACTTTCTGGAAGCTTCCATTCATAAAGCGTTTCTCTCCAACTGTCTCATGTTTTCCTTGGTTCCCAAAAATATGGTAAAACTTGAAACATCATCCATAAAGGAGTCACACTTTTCTTACTGTACCCCCAAGGAAGTTTTGCATTGCTACTGAAGGGAGGATGATTGGTTGAAGAACAGTTATATCTGTATTTACAGCCTTATTTACAAGTGTAGGGTACAACGAGGATATTTTGATAGATTTCTGCCAATTCTACAATGTTTTCTGACACTTTTTTTCGCAGATTCCGCATCTTTCCCTGCAACATATGGAACCAAGATACAGAAAAACAAAGATCAAACTTGATCAGCTCTTGAGGTTATGAGGTAGAGAACAGGATCCCTATAAGCATCATTTTGGTGTCTGAAAGAATGCTGTGGACACATGGATATTATAGCAGAACACAAGCACAGATCACCATATTTAGAGAAAAATTATACTAAATTTAGCACTAAAAGTGCTAAATTTTAGGTAGCCACTTTTGGTTGTTGTGACTACCCAAGTCAACATTTTTAATCTGTTCTCATAAAATAATTTGGAACTGTTCTTCAGTCTGCTGAGTTTATTGTAAACTCAGAAGCAGACCAAAAATAAAAATACAATCCGTAGCTCACATTATATCATTACCTTAACAAACAGAGGAAGTCTGTTTTCTTTGAAGGCAAAAAAACTGAATATATGATGCTGTCCACTCTTTGTTAGTGGCACCAAATTGCCAAAGCAGTCAACGTAGATGGGCTTTCCTTCTAATACCTATTGGAAATGAAAATGAAGCAAAGCAGTAATTAATCACCAAATTGCCAAAGCAGTCAACGTAGATGGGTTTTCCTTCTAATACCTATTGGAAATTAAAAAGAAGCAAAGTAGCAATTAATTGCAGTGAGGTGGTTAGGATTTCTTCTTAAGCATAATTCTACAGTAGTTTCAATCAGTTTCTGAAATTGCTAGCACATTTTTTTTGCTATTTACAAGATTTGTTAAGTACAGTTACCTAAAACTGGTGGAGACATTTCAGATTATGAAATTCCAAATGGAATACATCGTTAATTCAATAACAATAGTGCGACACTATAAATGACCAAATGAGTATTCAGCATCATGAATCTGGGCAAATTCTCAATCTGTATTTTAATTTGGATTTTTATTTGCTCTAATTTTAGCATACTTTGCTAACCTGGCCTGATCATAACAGTCAAAGAAATATTTTCTTCAGCAATCAAATCAAAATTCTTTTTTTTTGACTGGTAGGATAAGAAGCCAGTCTGGGAATATCACGAAGTAGCAGAGGACCTTTTTACCAAGGCAAAAACTTTCTAAATTAGATTAACCTATGAGTTTCATCTACTTGCAACAGTTTGTTGCAGCAGGTAAAGACGGTGTATATCAGTAGATTCTCCATAATTCAGCTGGTTTTGTAAAGGCCTAGAGCTTTTGAAAGTCAGGAAAACATCACTCTGAAATGCCTACATCACAATACCGCCTACGTCTTTGGATTGCTATTGTTATGGCCCCTCCATGCGTTGAAATCTCAGTTTACCAGTTTTGGAGATGTTCCCTCCAAACTGCCAATACATTAATGTCTCATCACCATTTTCCAGAAATTCAGCCTTGTCATTCAGGTTTATAAACCTGTATTTTATCTAGCTGCTCTGCACAAGAAATGCCTATCAGAGCTTTGGGAACAGTGAGGACAAATTTTTTTAAAGGTGGGATTCTCACGGAAAAGAGACCATATGAAGCAGAAGAACATGTCATGCGTGTAATTACCTGCTCTGCACAAGAAATGCCTATCAGAGCTTCGGGAACAGTGAGGACAAATTTTTTAAAGGTGGGATTCTCAAAGAAAAGAGACTATATGAAGCAGAAGAATATGCCATGTGTGTAATTAAAGCACTTTCAATTTGTCATCTCTTCTGGGGAAGCTGACAGGGCCAGAAAAACTGCATTTAGCAGGCGGTTTGCTGGATTCCACACAGAAAACTATGAGATGCTTGGGTGGAACTTAGGGCTAGCCTCAATCCATAGATGCATCAACAGGCTAACTGAGGAAAAAACCAATTCACGACACCTAGCCACCACCTCTCAGCTCGCTGTTGAGTGACTTCAGCCTTTCATCTTGTTGTGCACCTGGAACTCCAGCCCAGCTACGCAGAATTCTTACAAACTATTGCATTTTGTTTAAGGAAAGTAACGGGCAATACCTCCTGCTTGCATAACCAGTCACCTCAAATAGATTTCATAGTACTTAGTTAGCAGCAGCTGCTCTAGTTCTGAATCCGAATTAAGGAAACGCTGACCCTGACACCAAAGAAAAGGAGGACAAAGAACCTGAAACTACTGGACTAAATGGTAACCCCCAACTTCATTTTATGACCCGATTTCCTAGGATAAAAGCAGTCCAGTTTCTAAGTACAACTGTACAACAGGTCCACCATAAAAAAACATCTTGGGAAACCAAACTCTTTCAACTCAGTTTTGTCCTGTAGGTTTTCTAAGCCTTAGTCACATAACAGAGAGCTCCAACTCAACCAGCCCACTGCTGTATTTGCCATCCCCATGAATCCAGCTTAAGGTTCCTGCTACCTATTTTTTCAGTTGCTGAGGACTTCTCTGACAACACACTGGATGCCCCATCTGAATGCCAATAATGCTACGGAGAAAACAAAATCTTCCACCTTGGTGGGTGGAGCCAGGAAGCCCCAAATGCAGTCAGCTGAATATAGCTAACCTTCCCACCAGCCCTGTGGACTAAGAAATTGGCAATTGCCCATTGGGAATAGGATTTCATCACTCATACCTGGCAGCTACTTTTCCCTTACATCTGACAAAAGTCAAAGTTTCCATCTTATCATGATGCATCATACTGCATCGTGACAGTATTTGTTGGCACTATTATTTTTCAGTACTCGTGGTAGATACAAGGCAGAAAACATTAGCTTAAAACCAGACATTAGAAAATGGAGAAAACTCAAAAAGAGTTTGAAAAAAAACAAAGAAAACTCAAAGAAACAGAACAGAAAAAAGAGAAAACTCAAAAAAAAGATTCTTGTACAGTACCTCTACATCCCTGCTTCTGGCAACTTCAGCAAAATTTTCTTGCTGTTCTAGAGTTTTATCCACCTTGTCATCTGTCATGCAAAAACATCGTAACCGTGCTTCAATGGGATCATGTGATTTGGCAAACACCACAAATTTGGCCATGTAGGGGACACAGATAATCTCTCTGTACACTTGGGAAGCAAAAGTAACAGATTCTTGTGTCTGTCGACAGTCTATCAACCAAAATCTGGAAAAGAAAATGCAGTTGAGTAATCAGCACAGAGAGATTTAAGCAAGAAAACGATGTGTCTTCCCATCTTGGCAGCATTAGCTGGTAACCACACCAATTTATATGACAAGTCAGAATAAAGTTCAGAAAACAGTTACCATTTGTGGAGAATAGCCTAAGAATGCCCATGGTACCCCCCAAGCATTTAGGAGCACGAAGAAAAATCAACAGGGAAAGCATTTGGACCAGAATTTACTCTCCTAAATACGAGACGCAAACCCTTTACGGAGTCTCCTGCTGCACAAATTCCAGGTCATTGTTTGCCTTTCTGATCAACTCTCAACTCAGCTGGAAGCTTATTTGCTTCCAGGTACATGACTGGCTTCTAAAGGCTTGAAGAAGTTCACTCGTCCTGTGGCAGACAGTCTCATAGACCTTCTCTGAAGATTTAAATATATGCATTTTTTCATATTTTTGTGTTTATGAAATATAAAAATTACCATTTATAACTATGTTTATAATATTTAAACAATTATTGACGGCTTACCAGAATTAAGAAATTCTGGAAACTCCTCACAGAATCCAATAAAAGTATTTTTCTTCTATTCAAAAGTTGGAGATGGCCTAAACTTTGTTTTCATTTCAACTGATTCCTTATGGTGAGAGTATGTGATGAAATGCTTCCTGTCTTCTACCAAGAAATAAATCTCTTCAAGAATAAGCTCAGTGGTCTCTGTTTTCCATCACTTTTCAAACACTACTGGAATAAACTACTTCCTCCACATGATGTGAAGCCAGGAGCTGCCACTGCTGTCTCACTTGGGTACCACCATGACAAAGAAATATCTGAAGATTACAGGGAAAGGTCCAAAGTTGTCTGATTTCACTGACATAGTTATTACAAAGGGACATCTGCCTCTTAAAATGTATTGCTAGTGCGTGTGAGATGGAACAAACCACCCCAAAACTCATCAAACGTACATGGTTACTTAAGACATAGCACGGATGGAGATATCCCTGTTCCTTGCAGGGGGGTTGGACTAGATGACCTTTGAAGGTCCCTTCCAGCCCTAACCATTCTATGATTCTATGATTCTATGTCACAACTCCGGTCTAGAACTTCAGCTTCCAGAACAGGTCCTCTTGTGTCAAAAACAACCCTCGTCCTCCCTGAAAAATACAGGTTCTCTACCCTTTCTTTGGGCTGTTCAGGGCAGGACAACATCGCCCAGTAATGAAAACCTCCGGAATTTCCTTATACTTTTGTCAAGACAACCGAAACGTTATTTTGCAAAGATGACTTTCACTTAAATTATTCTACCTCTACTCCCAAAACGTCACAGCAAAAATGCACCAAGCTTTTTACAAGGAGTAACGTGTATCACCACCTTTCTCAGATCCCACTTCCTTTAGTCTCTCCGTGGAGATGATGACGTTCTTCTTAAATAAAATCCACTGTGTGGGTGGAAAGCACGGTTGAGCTTGACACCCGTAGGATTGAGACGGAAGTCATGAGAGGTCAAAGACACCTCAAAAGCTGATATAATCTGCAGGGGGGCTTGTTACTTACTGTAGATTACATGGTATTATAACCCACAAAGCACACCTTTCAAGCGTGATTTCTCACAGTCTTACTCATCTGCCGTTGAAGAACAGCGAATTTCATGCTGCGCTTCTCTTCAGAACATTTAACAAACACGCTGGTTGAAAAACAGCCTGATGACATTTGAAAGAGAAAGAAAAGCATGTTTGGTGCACAAAGGCTCCGCAAATCGACACTTTCCGTGTCGTGTGTGGGAGAACTACGCTATGCTGGACTCTAACTGGAGAGGCTATATCCTCGGAGGAACCACCAGATGCTCAAACGATTTGCTGTCATACCTCAGGGGCTAAAAAGTCCAAACAGATCCTAAATTTTTAAAAAAGCTGCAGCTCAGGAAGCGGAAAACAGCTACGCCTCGAAGCCTGCAGTCTTCTCCCCATAATGTTCATCTGGAACAGGTTGCCCAGAGAGGTGGTGGATGCTCCATCCCTGAAGACGTTCAACGCCAGGTTGGACGAGGCCCTGAGCAACCTGATCTAGTTGGAGATATCCCTGTTCCTTGCAGGGGGGTTGGACTAGATGACCTTTAAAGGTCCCTTCCAGCCCTAACCATTCTATGATTCTATGATTCTATGTGTTTTAGACAAACTGATCTCTTTCCCAAGCTCATTTGGGACAGAGTTAAGTCTTACGAACGGGAAAACTGTTCTCCATCATTAATGATTTAACTAGACATAAACAAGTTACCGTGACCAGCAAAGAGTCAGGAATCAGCTGATTCTCAGCAGGGCACGAGGGTAGATGCATTTTTAGACCAGGGCACGAGTGAACAAGTTCAAGTTGGCGTGTCCTTCAGAAAAGAAGGTAATTATTCTCTGATTCTAAATACATGAAAAATCCCACTTTCTAACAGCATTTAAAGTCGTGTTTGGGTTAAAGCAGTCTGTTGAACATTCATTTAGATTAAAAAGAAGAGGTAGAACCCATTCGAAACTCTACACAGGACCCTGCCTGTATCACATAACATTAGCAACAGAATCAATTCCAACGTCATCATCGGGATTAGGAAACATCCACTACTACTACGGATTGTAGTTCCATCAACTGTCACTCTCATTCTGGCTGTATTTCGTGTGTAGCCCTGCTGGGGACTTCACAATTTTAGGGTCTTGGACCTCTCAAACTTTGCATTTAGTGTCCACATCTGGTTCTTAAATGATCACAGAATTAGAAATCAAATTAATCTTTGATTTCTCCCGTTAAACAGGACACTGCAGGCAGCGGATGAGCACTAAAACGCACTTTAAGATCCCCCTCTTGTGGTCAAGCCATTTCTGAACTGAGAAAGTACAGAAAAACAACACTTTATTTAAAGTCAAAGTCATACTGTAGATTGGAATGCAAGAGCTGAACTAATTTTAAAACTGAATGAATTACTTTATTAAGTAGCAAACCTAATGTAATAGTAATAACTGCTTTGGACAGGGAATGTTTGCACTGAAGGGAATTCATTGATATTGGCAAGCCATCCAAGATTTTTGTAACTGCTAGGCTACACACTCTAAATTTATTACTTTCTAGGTCATGGACTGCATCTCCTGTTACAGGCAAGGAGATTTTTGAGCGTTTCTGTGATACAAATCGTGGACAGTATGCAAACTAAAATACATATGTACACACGTACTTATTTATCTATTTAAATATGAAATTCTGTTTTCAGAAAGATGGCAGTTGAATCTCATCACGAGAACAGATGGTTGGGAGAGATTCTTCTAGATCACAGTTCGGTATACCTACAGGTCTTTCTACTTGATTTTTCATTTGTTGGATATTCTGGAAGTAACATAGAATCATAGAATGGTTTGGGTTGGAAGGGACCTCAAAGATCATCTGGTTCCAACCCCCCTGCCATGGGCAGGGACACCCTCCACTACACCAGGTTGCCCAAAGCCTCATCCAGCCTGGCCTTGAACACTTCCAGGGATAGGGCATCTACAACTTCTCTGGGCAACCTGTTCCAGTGCCTCACCACCCTCTGAGTGAAAAATTTCTTCCTTATATCCAATCTAAATCTCCCCTCTTTCAGTTTAAATCCATTGCCCCGTGTCCTATCACTACACGCCCTTGTAAAAAGTCCCTCTCCAGCTTTCCTGTTTTTTATACATCTTTTATAAGAGGTATAAACCCAAGAAAGAGATTTCTGCTTCCATGGAAATTTGTGTCTTTCTGCATCTGGGTGAGAAGGAGTATTCAAGGAGTCTTCAAGGCCAGGTTGGACGAGGCCCTGAGCAACCTGATCTAGTTGGAGATATCCCTGTTCCTTGCAGGGGGGTTGGACTAGATGACCTTTGAAGGTCCCTTCCAGCCCTAACCATTCTATGATTCTATGATTCAAAACGAAACCTGATTTTTTTCTAACGACCTGAAAATTGAACTGTCCCTTGGATTACCATTCCAGAAAATCTGAGTATGTCATTAATATATTTCTGAGACCATAGCAGGTGCTGACTCTGCAAAGGACTAACGGCTGAGATAAAAATGACAAGAACATCAGTTTCTTTCCCCAGCTGGTAAGGACTCAGAGCTGTTGTACATCATCTGTCTGGGCTAGGAGGCCCAGGGCTTCCAAAATACCTCAACAACTGCTTCACAGCACAGACAAAAACATCTGTGTTCCTTCTAGTATATAAACTAAAACAGTTTAAAGGAAAGATTTGGTGAAAAAAAGACATGCACTTGTAAGTAACACTGTAAAACTCATGTTTTGTTGTAGAGGTACCTGGCAGACACGTTTGTTGTGAAGGACACGCATTCGTTAACGAATGTCAGCGGTGTTGTTCCAGTGATGTCTTCCCATTGGGCAGGGGTGGTTCCTCCTGAAACGAGAGAGAATTTAAAAAAAATGAAAACCAAGCAAGTCTGCAATTTCCTTTTTTCGAAGAAACATTTTCCATTCTTCTGAGTTTTTAACCACTATGAAACCAGTAATAATCCCAGACGTGCCTTCTCCTTAGGTCCACATTGTTCTCCTAATGCGAGTGGCGTTGCGTGGGTTTACCCTGAGAAAACAAAGTGCCCACACGATTTTCAAATGATCAGACCTGTAGCACGGCTCCAGAAATGTTAAAAGAGGCTTTTGGGGAGAGATGTGATTCATTAGAAATTGCTTGTGTTCATTCTAGACTATCCACATACACGCAGCAAAACTGGCCCAGATCCAGAGCAGCTAAACCTGTATTATTAGACATGGCAAACAATAATAATATTACTAATAGCGACAATTAGAATTTGTGACTTCTATAATCTACTTCTTTTTCAAATAATTCAAAGACTCAGGTCCAGTATGTACATAACTAAAGGAATGTCTACGAAACAATCTGGGTCTGACAAGCTCCCTGGAAGATCCTGTGGTTGAAACATGCACCTCCATATCGTGCTGCACCACAGCCAGCCTTCTGGATTACTATCAGTCTATTAAGTGTTCCAGCCCTCTGTCACAGACGTTGCCAGCCTCCTCTTTGGCCCACGCAGCTGAAAATGTGGGCACAGTCTGTCACCCTGCAGTTGTGTTTTCGACTTCTTCAGTACATGTCCCTGCCTCACCTTTTGGTGAAGAATGCCCAGTTGGCTTCCAGTTACCTTAAAATCACACTGAGCTTACAGAAAACAGAGAGAGGAGTGCTTATTTCTAACTGCAGTTATGAACATTTAGAAAACACATATGAAGAACTAAAGGAAAAACTATGCACAACCAGGGCTAAGTCAGAATGTAGTCCTGTCCCTTCTCTCGTGTACAGCTGACTCGTTGGATACCCATTTGACCACGTAGCACAGCTTTTATTGCAAACCTTAAACCAAGTCGTATCTGTAAAGAAATACCAGTTTTCAGGAAATACCTCCTCTCTCCTTTCAGTGAAGCATTCTTGGAACCAATTTCCCTTTTGAACTTTTCTAGAGGATCCTCGCAGATTCACTGTCCCTCCAAGAAACTTACTCAAATTCCTCTTTATAGAGGAGACCATTCTTCTCTATTTAAATAAACACCGTTTCACTGTCTTGGAAATGCACATACTTCTTTTTGGACCTGCTGCTGCTATTTCAGCAGCTATCTAACACCTTTGGATCAAGAAACTGTAAAAGCACCTGCTCTCTGGAATGACTCATGGGCACATCTCGGTGCGTAATGCATCTTACGTTGGGTTAGTGTTTGGGATCAGTTTGAAAATTAAGAAAGATGCTAACTTCTAAACAGAATAAATGCACGCAGACCATTTCTGCCTCTTAACTGAGACTGAATGAAAAGCTAATCGCTTTGGAATTACAGCAAGGACAAAGTGTTAAACTGCAATATTCTCCTCTGAAGCATACTGCAACGTTATATCTGCACTACACTAACTCTGCCAGGCAGCTGGTTCTCAAGAAATAAACCGTAAGGAAAATGCAAAAAACCCTCAACCTGACATCTACGATTATATTACGCATCTCTTGTTAGTCCAAACAAGAGATGTTATTTCTGCTATAAAATAATTGTTTGGAAAGTAGTTTATTTTCACAGCCTCTCATCCCAGTCTGCTTTTCACCGAGCTTTCCATGTGCACAATCAGTTTAACATATTCAGCCCACGACGACTGACCATTTCAAGATGCACAGAACAAGCTCCAGTATTTGCATCCTACCTGTGATGCTGCATAGCAACCTTAAAGTGGGGGTGTCGCCTCCGTAACCGTTCATGATCCCATCAGTGGAGGCCTTGGGGACGGGAATCGTCATCGTGATGGGTTTATGGAACTTCCTTCTCCTGGGCTCCAGCGTGACTATAGGACTGAAGGTAGCCTTGTTGCCTAAAATCTTCTTTATGAGTTCAGTATGCATAGGTTGAGCCTTTCCAAAACAAAAGACAAGAGCAGGATAGTTACTTGAAAATAGTTTAATGATTTAATACCGGGTCTGTATATTGCCACAAAACCCTGGAGTTTTTACACTGAATGACATGATTTCCCATGAAAATCTGCAGACAGAAGAACTGACTGTCAATGAGAAGGGGAGATCTCCCGTTATCAGCTCTCCCACGCCTTCCTCCTCTTTCTATCCCCTTTCTTGGTGCTTGTCAGACCCTTTAGCAGTATTAATTTAGTTCACTTCACCAGTAGCAAATAAGATTTCCTTGTCACCTTTTTTTTTTTTATCCTTAGAACAAGCTCTGAGCTATTTTAGTAAGTTATTCAGCTATTTGCAGAGGATTTAAACAAGCACAGTCTCCTGGCCCAGGCAAGTCGTGGATGTATGCAGCAGGAGGAGGGGATGGAGGTAGGGGAAAGACTTACCTCTCTTTCAGTAGTGAGCTGTCAGGTTGGTTTAGTTCACCCTGAGAACCTGTACATTTGACTTCTCTGATGCCTTTCGTAAGAAATATTTAAGAAATTGTTCTATGACCTAGGCTAATATCATCATCATCACCACCAAAATTAGGTGCTTTTCCCAAGATCATATAGACAGCTGACAGACAGGAACTTGAATTAACTGGAATACCCAAAGCTTGCTTTGACTTTTGCATGTTGGTTGCTTGTTTTTTTCTAAATTATTTTTAATAGAAGCACTCTAGACAACAACATACAACACGATAAGCTGAACATGCTACTTCTCCTTTCAAAGAAGGTGATTTTACACTTTTTTTTTTTTAAAAAAAAAAGATAAGCCTTGTAATTTTTCCATTGTACCTGGAGGCCAACGCGAATTCGTTTGGTCAGAGCCCCTTCTGGGAAGACTGCCTGCACTTGTGGTACCACAGTGCTGCTCAGCACACCTCCCTCGGGGCCGATAAGGTTGCTGTCCTGTTTGATCCGGGATACCACCGCGAAGTACTGAGGGAAATCTCGGGTGATGATGCGGCAGATCCGTTTCTTCTCAAGCTCCTCTGGAGTGTCAAGTACTGAGGCCAAAAGAGAAGATGAGCAGGAGACAAGGATTTCATAGAAACAATACAGCAAACTTGAAAACCCATTCGAGCTTTTCACAGTTTCAGTGCAACTCAGAAAAGTATTTTGACTAGAAATCAAAGGGGAAAAGGGAATATACCCCAGTACCTTAAGTTCAGCTAAAACAGAGACATCAAGAAAAGAACAGACAGACAGACTGAAAAACTAACTGAAGGGAGCTTAAGACAGCAAACTCAGCACATAGAATCATAGAATGGTTAGGGAGTTGGAAGAGACCTCAAAGATTATCTAGTTCCAACCCCCCTGCCATGGGCAGGGACACCCTCCACTACACCAGGTTGTCCAAAGCCTCATCCAACCTGGCCTGGAACACTGCCAGGGATGGGACATGTACAACTTCTCTGGGCAACCTGTGCCAGTGCCTCACCACCTCAGAATGAATAATTTCTTCCTTAGATCTAATCTCCATCTGCCCTCTTTCAGTTCAAAGCCATCACCCCTTGTCCTGTCACTGCAAGTTGACAACATTCCCGAAATCAGCAGGCAAAAAAGCGAAGGGGTTGGTCGAAGGCCCCTTTCACTTCACGTGCTCACGCTGTGGCATGGAATTGCGTCATGGAAGCTGAACTGCTAATCCAAAAAGCACTAAAGTATGAGTTCAGTTTTCAGTATGTGAGCTGGCTCGCTTACTTTTGTTGTTTTGGTTTTTTTTTAAAAAAAAGCCATCAAAATTAATAACAAATTCTGCAGATCCTAGACAGCCCAAGGCCATTCTGTTCTCTGAGAAAGCAAGAGTACCCATGACTGACATTTCCTCCCACACACGTAGCTGCTTGGAAAGGATTAGTATGATAATTGCCTTGTTTTGGAAAGATGTTTGCTGTGGAAGCTTTTCGTTTAACACCACGAAAAGGAGCGGTAGCAAACATAAGTCTAGCATCTATTCTCAACGTCGTGATGGTAGATTTTGGTTTGTCCCACTACTTCAGCAGATCATGCAAGGGAAGTAAGCACAAGTATACTCTGCTTACTTCTTATTTACTACTTCTACAGTACTTCTACTTCTGCTGGTTCCTGTACCCAGATAGAATCATAGAATCATAGAATTGTTAGGGCTGGAAGGGACCTGCAAAGGTCATCTAGTCCACCCTCCCTGCAAGGAACAGGGATATCTCCAACTAGATCAGGTTGCTCAGGGCCTCGTCCAACCTGGCCTTGAACGTCTCCAGGGATGGAGCATCCACCACCTCTCTGGGCAACCTGTTCCAGTGTTCTACAACTCTCATGGTAACAAATTTTTTCCTAATATCCAACCTGAATCTACCTCCCACTATTTTAAAACCATTCCCCCTTGTCCTATCACAACTGGCCCCCCTGAACAGCCTCTCCCCATCTTTCTTGTAGGCCTCCTTGAGGTACTGGAAGACCGCTATAAGGTCACCCCGGAGCCTCCTCTTCTCCAGGCTGAACAGCCCCAACTCTTTCAGCCTGTCCTCATAGGAAAGGTGCTCCAGCCCTCTTATCATCTTTGTGGCCCTCCTCTGGACCCTCTCCAACTGGTCCATGTCCTTCTTTTGTTGGGGGCAAATAAAATGAAGTAGCTGGAGAATGTAGTGTCAGAAATTCTAGGGCGGACCAAACATGAGGTGCTAAACAGAATAAATGGTAAAAAGCTATTACCCTCAGTTACAGAAGGAAGTAGCTGGAGAATGTAGTGTCAGAAATTCTATGGCGGACCAAACATGAGGTGCTAAATGATAAAGAATAAATGGTAAAAAACTATTACCCCCAGTTACAGAAGGAATGCTGGAGCAGAGCTTTAAAAAAAAAGAAAAAAGGCACACCGCATACCTTCATCCATCCCGTTCAAGATCTCATTCAGTTCATCCTCAGTGTATTCACAGAAATGCTCCTTCCAGCTGTCCCCGTTCTCGCTGCGCAGGATGACCAGCTCTCTCTCTTTCCCACGCAGAGCAGCAAAATGGGGAATCTCCACAATCACAGGCCTGGCACGGCAACACAGCGCAATAAATGCCCACGGGAGAGAGGAAGAAACAGGATTAACAGCAACTCTATTCAGTCTGCTACAAAGTGACCTGGAATTCTAACTATTTCGCTGGAATACTTGGGCGTAATCCTGAACTAGTAGGTCACCAACACATACTAGATTTTTACAGGGACCCAGTAAGTGCTAAGGGACAGATTAAAAAGTGCATTCACCTCTTTCCACAGTGTGAATGGTGTTTGGCAAGGTAATAGTGCTTAGCCAGAAATTTGGTAGTTGTTTTGCAAATTCATAAAAACCTCATGCTCTTTTTAGTTGTCACTACTGTCTGGGTTAACCTGTGCAACTTCATTTCAAAGAGAATCTACTGTAACGTGCATGGACAGTGAGACAAATTCTGATCTCGCTTATACTAGTGCAAATCAGAATAATTTCATTGCAATCAGCGGGCAGTTGTGCCCTGTGCCAATTTCACTTCGCTGTAATTCTCTATATTCCAATGAATTTATTCCTGATTTACACTCTGGGAGAAATCAAGGAGGAGGTCTGAGGAGATCATCTGGGTTTCTACTTCAGTATAGGAGATAAGAATTTGTCTTGTTGCCTTACCAGCAGATGTCAATATACGTGTAAGTGTATGCGCCCATGTACACACACACCCCTATACAACACATATGTGTACAGACAGTATATCTGTGTTTATATATACATACATACTGTTAGAAATAAGAGATAAAATACAAATATATTTGTATATGCACTTCTCTAATTAGAGGACTCAAACAGGTTACCGTGTACGTAGTAAATGTCATGTGTTCTCTTATACTGGTGGTATCCAACACACAGCTTAGTGATTGATCAGTCCTTGATAGAAAAAGCATCTTAAAATTTACAGTAGATTCTTTTTTTTTTTTTGGTCCCAATCCAGGTTGCTTTGCTACAGACATCAAGCACATAACTAGGAAGATTTCATGCCAAAACAAAAATGAAGGCCACAGTACTTGAAGGAAAAGATACAAACATACCACCAAAACAAAAACCACATACCACAAGGGTTGGAAAATGGTCCACTAAGGGTTAGGTATACAGAATTTCAAATGATAGAAAGGGACAATATCATGGGCATAATGACATAAAAAAATCATATTGCAGAAGGAGGAGAAGAATGGGGAGGTCAGCATCCATCAATTTGTTTCAAGTCTCTCCTACCCAAGGAATTTGGTCCCAGGAGGCCCCAGCTGAAGGATTCGGCTGACCAAGCTTTCTCCCTCATTAAGTGGGGGAGGAGCCGTAGGCAGATGAAGTTTACTGAGTACATCCAAAGCAGCAGTGAAAGAAAGAACATAAATAAACTTTATGTATTTTTTGTGCCAGAACGCCAGTGCCCCTGTCTGGTGCACAGAGTGGAATTAGGCTGTGCACTGAATAAGGTTCCTTCCTAGCCGTGACGATTTGGTGACCGAAATCCCCAAAACCAGTTTCGTTAATTTAGCATCTTTTCTTGCTCGTGGGAAGAACAACGGGATTTTGGGCAGCGAACTCAACGGGAACAGGATTTGGACCTCAGAAAGCATCTCTGCAAACAGCACGGTCATCTCCTGCCTTCACTGCCAGTACAACACCTAGAAAAACGCTTGCAGGAAGGGAAGGAAGGTCTGAGAATGAATAAAACTGCGCTATGTCCTGGTCTTTTGGGTGACACAGTCTCATTAGGGAGAGAAACCATTAAAAAGAAAACGGGAGACGTACTTCAGGTCAATTTGTGTGCGACAAATATAACGGGAAGACTCAATGTGACAGCACAATATTTCTTCTGCTGTTTAGATTTCTTTCTGCTTCTCTTTAAAAGCGACCAAGATGTGAGAAGAATAAGTGGCACAAAGGGTCTGATTAGCCAGGTTTTTTGCCATTACTTGTGATATTAAGCAGCATTCTGTCCGTCAAAAGGAATGGTTGGTTTGCTCTTAGTGCCACATTCGCAGTGATGCTGCAGCATTCACAACTGCTCTTGCTTTTTTACCAGATTAGAGCAACGGTGAAGTAGCCCAAAGTTGTCTCCCTAAGCTCAATCTTTTAGAAAAAGCACTAATGAAGAGAGCAGCTCTGATGACTGCCTGTTATAAGAGGATTTTCAAGCAACTGATTTGTTTCGAAATGGATTTAAACTATTGCTGCTTAGAGAGTCACTCGTTTTACGGTTTCTGAATGAAGCTATTTACTGTAATAGAAGGGGTTCCATCAATCATCCACTTTTGGATGCCACAGTTGATAGGGAGAACAGTTGATAAAAGAAATAAAAAAACTGTGGGTAACTGCTGCTTTCAGCTGAAAACTGCTAAAATAAGCTCAGCAGCAGACACAAATCTGATCTTTCTACGGGTTTCGCAGCATAGGACAAAAGAAACAGCAAAAAAAAAAATTCCAGGGTTGTCCTATCGCTTAGTTTAGCAGCTTCAACCCCAGAAAAATCAAAGGCTCTGTGCTTCCCCAAAGGCTCTGTGCTTCCCCAATAGTCCAAATTACGGAAAACACAACACAAGCCTCTCAAATGAGCAGCTCTAACTTGTGTTGTACATGTAGCAGGCTTTAGATAGGGGCTTAAATCAGTGCTGTGCTATTCATGCTTGACATATAGATTATTTAAATACCATATGAACAGCCTCTTCTGGCTGCAAAGGCATCTTTTCCCACCACGATATCACAACACTGAGTAACGACGATATCCCAGGAAGCACATGAACCTTGGAGCTAGTGCTTAAAACACCCGTTTTCAAAGGAAAAGGCGTAAAAGCTTTGTGAATTATTAACTAACAGCTGATTGGTATTTCACACGACCGGCCTGCCACCGTATGTTCCAAACACCTTTTCCTGTTCAAGTCTTGGAAAAGGAACCGCTTCAGCGCAACTCGCAAACGGGCTGAACGTTCTCCTGCCGGCCAGATGGCACCCCTTACCCAAGAAACTGAGCCCCAGAAGGTCCAACTTCAATCAGGCGGCTGGCCAGACCTTCGCCTTCCACCATGGGAGGCATGGTGGCCAGCCTGTGGCGTTTCACCAACCGGCAAGTCACTCGTGTCGGAGCGGTGCATTTCCGCGGAGGGATAATGATTCGGAGTCCGTTATGTCTGCAACCTCTCATGGCACCCCCGCGAGCATCCACCATGAAACTAACTAGGAAGCTGGAAAATCAGGGGAAAAAGAAAAAAAATTAGATACAAACCACACGGAATTGCCTTTGGTTCTGTTCCACGCACGTAACAAACTATGCATGTAAATATAGCTCTTTCTCAAGATGTACAATTAGAAAAAGTCTTTCTCCCATGTGAAGCACCAAATCATGCTAGGATCACTTCTTAATTAAACTGACAACTGCTACCTAAGAGTTCTTCACCGAAACTCTTATTTTACAGTGCTGCTGCTGTTAAAAATAGTAGCAGTCACTAATAAATATGAGCACGTGTGTATGTACCTACGAGAGACAAAGTCAAGTGCAAGTATCACTACTCTGTACCTGCAAGCATCTATATTGTAAAGTTGGTGCCCTTTAAATACTTTACAAACAAATAATGGTTTTGAAGAAAATTCTTTATGACTCGGGAATATAAAGACAATTGTGACTGGAGGGGTGGTTGGGTGTTTTTTTTTAGGTTGTCTATATAATTTTCTAGTTATTTGATCAACTGTAATTTCTAACGAAAATGGTTTTGGATTTAAAAAAAAAAAAAGTTTCATTCTGGAGTGTGTGGATACAATTTGTAATACATCAGTGGAGCTAGCACCTATTTATATAAAAACCCCAACATGTCATTATTGTTTGAGGACAAGTTTTGGATTTTGGTGAGATGACAATAGCTACAGTCACTGTACAAGGGGTTTATTTACGGATTTTTGTTTTTCCCTCTTGCTTAGCACAGCAAGACAATATCCCAGTGGAAAACTTACAGATGCAGAAAGCCATCTACAGGGAGCCCTCTTCTAGCACAAGGTAAATTATCTGATTTCTTTCTTTTTCTTGAAAAGGGAGAAAAACATTTCATGGCATTTCTTTTATGCTGAACTTTTTATAGTTCCATACATCACCAACAGGTAGATGTTAATGGATTTGTTAAAAATATTGGGAACATTCTTGGGAAAGGTGTCGTACTACTTCAATTTTTTTTTTTTTTTTTCCACTGGTTTATGACTTCGGATCATGCCTGATGTGGGATGGGAATGTCAGGTTGCTGGAAGTGAAAATAAGAGCAGATGAGACAGAATGGTATCAGGCCTACTTCTAGCCACTAAAATAGAACCATCACATAGGGAGGCGCAGAAATGCTACTGAAGGACCTGCAATAGAGAACAGCCCTTACAACATGAGTAACAAATACAGGTGTTTTTCCACTGTCCCCTTGACCGTTCAGTGCAACAAACATGGCATCCATTCCTTGGCCACACAGCTACAAGTAATTCCACATGCTGTAAAAAACACAACACTCGACACGCCGTGCAAGTCAGAAACATGGATGATGGAAAGGAGCCACAAGCGCCAGTCGGAAGCACACCATGCACCACGGATGCCAGTCTTCCTCACACATGCAGTCTCCTATTCTACTGCCATTCATATACCTCTAGGTTTTGTTTAGTGTAAAAGTCTGGGTAGTACAACCATTATCTCATTCCTTAGAGGTTGGTGTTTCTGTGGTTTTAACAAAGGGGGGGGGGAAAGAAAGAAAATGAAAACGTTTTACAGCTTTGATTCTCTGGGAATTCATTTCGAAAAACGGGAGCTTCCTTCACAAAATACACACTTTACACATTTTAAAGCACAGATGAGAGAAGAGCTTGAGAGAGACGAAATTCCGTGGCTCACACTGCAATTCTCCTTCAACTGTATGATGTAGTGTTATCAAAGTGGTCCTGAATCGTGTTTCAGGGAATCGATCCAAGTCTCTATTACAACGGCTGCGTTAGAGGTAGTTAATAACACCGAGTGCTGGAAGAAAAGTTTCACATTTTGATGCTAATACTATGAGCAACAGCAACACTACCCCCACAATTACCAGAAGCTAATGAGTGCACTTACTGAATTAAATCAGCATTCGCATTTTTCATTTGCCTAAGCTGTCACGAACACAATTTTTTAGGATTCAATTATTCTCCTGATCGACGTAATACTCAAGAGCATATGCTGTAACAACAGGATCACCTTCTTGATCTGTCCATCACTGAAATATTAGTGCTAGGTCATCTGTCTTATGTGCGTGTTCCTCAGCTTACCTCCCCACGTGTCTCGGCAATGCCAGTAACACTGATAACTGCTAGAAGAATACATAGACACAAAAAGTAAGGGTTTAAATCAAATAATCCCCCTTCTGACCACAGTAACAATCCGTTGCTTTTAATATGGTGCTCTTCCTCTGCGTAGCAATTCCTTTCATACTAACTAAAAGATGAGCAGAGTGCTGAAATAGTAGTGCCTTCCCATAAGCATACTAACTAAAAGATGAGCAGAGTGCTGAAGTAGTAGTGCTTTCCCATAAAGCACACGTTACACAATTAAGATAACGAGGTTGTGGTGCAGAACCCACAGAAAAGCTGAAGAAGCAGGAGCAGTCTTTGATTTTAACCATCTCTAACAAATGGGTATCACCTCATGCACATGGTCACAGCCCTGTGCTCCAGCACCTGCAAAACTTGGGACCTAATACAGATCAACTCAAAACAGAGCACGAGATAGCTGGGTGTGTTCAGGCCTTAATGCTGCAACTCCTTCTTTCATTTGAAGTTTATTGAAGATGCCTGGTGGGTCAGAGCAAGGTCTGCCCATGAATCTATAGTGAGGTCTAGCAGTGAGATGCCTGGTGGGTCAGAGCAAGGTCTGCCCGTGAATCTATAGTGAGGTCTAGTCGTCATCCATCACTGAACCCAACTATTGCTCCAAAGAGTGGAAAAACAGGCAAAAGTAAGTATCATTGGAAGGTGGACATAAAGATAACAACAGTAAGGGTAAGAATAGTAGGTCATTACTGTAAAACCAGCTGTTTCTATCATAAAGAAGATCTAATCATAGAATCACAGAATGGTTTGGGTTGGAAGGGACCTCAAAGATCATCTAGTTCCAACCCCCCTGCCATGGGCAGGGACACCCTCCACTACACCAGGTTGCTCAGAGCCCCATCCAACCCGGCCTTGAACACTTCCAGGGATGGGGCATCTACAACTTCTTTGGGCAACCTGTTCCAGTGCCTCACCACCCTCTGAATGAAAAATTTCTTCCTTATATCTAACCTAAAACTCCCCTCTTTCAGTTTAAAGTCATTGCCCCTTGTCCTATCAATACATGCCCTTGTCCAAAGTCTCTGTCCAGCTTTCCTCTAGCCCCTTTAGGTACTGGAAGGCTGCAATAAGATCACCCCGGAGCCTTCTCTTCCCCAGGCCAAACAGCTTTACTAAATAACGAGACCCAATCTGGCAAACAGCGGTGTTCATCCCAGTATACACCAAAAACCCGACTTGTGCCCTACCACTGAAACAGACCCCCAGATGAAAGCGGAGATTCCAGAAGGGTTCTGTGCCTTCTGGATGAGTCAGAAACCACCTAAGAGGCTGCAAGTACCCTTCAACTGCTGGACAGCAAATTCAGGCACAAGCAGAACAGCGTGAGGATGGCACAGAAAGATGATTAGTGCCAATTATCACACTAAATACGGAGGAGGCGGCTCACAAAACCAGCTATATGCTACTGTGAAACTTCCAGGAAACAAATTTTGAAGAACTACCATGAATATAGTGCAAAAGAAAGAAACTGAAGGGGAAAACTCATCAGCTCCAGAGCCATGGCATAAAAGCCTGAAAGGATAGGACACTTGCAGGATTTGCAGAGCTGACACAGAATGTAAAAATACGTTCTTTTTCACCATTCCACTCCGTTTATTTCCCTACCTTTTGCCACTTTCATTTTCTCATCCACTTATTTAATCCAATTTCTTTTCACATCTTTTTTTTTTAAGCATCAGCACACTTCACATCATTTTAGATACGCAACAGAGTAAAGCAATTCACAACAAAGCATTTTCTGAATCATAGCAGCCTCTTTTTCTGCCTATTTGCTACATAATAGGTCACCCGGATGGTGACGTTACTGTTCCAGGACTGGAAAAGCTTTGCCCTTTTGAAGGACTGTGTATATCAATACACAAATAATCCATACAAAACTAATGCATGGCATAAAACACGCTTTCTGAAACGTGCATTTAGGAGAGTGAAAAATTTGTACGACTAATACAAAGGAAGTGGAAAATGCCAATTGATTATTTTGTTGCCCACGTACACACATCATTTTTCGTCTCCCTAATGTTTCTTTTTCTAGATGTCAAGACTGAGACAGGAAGAGATCGTACTCAAATGAACAAACAAAACTATCAGGAATAATTGGTGGATTAAGCCATCACTCTGGGAAGTGGCACCTTTTCATTATAAGTTCCCATGGTCAAATAGAAAATAATACGTAATATTAGCATCTGAATGATCCCAACATCATCTATACATCATATATACTCCCTGAAGTTTCTGTGTGGAGGTGTTTCTCCTATTGCACTACTACAAGCACTACCAACCATCTATGTATGGGGAACGAAGAGAAGAGGGCTCGTTAAAGTGAAACACAAATGGCTGGTAAAGAGTTCAGGATTAAGAAAAAAAAAA